TTGAACATCCACCTACCCGAGAGACATCTTAGCAGTAACTGGCATGTCATGACAAGCCGCCCATATTCAGAAGACCACAATGACAGGCACTCCCAAACATGAAACAACTATTACAAATTACCATCTGCAGTGCATTAGCTTAGTTCACAGGTATCAGTGGTTATATCTTTTTCTAAAAGGCAATCACCATTGTTGGCCAGACAGCTCAGCAGATTAAAGCACCTGCTTAGGCAGAGTGTAAGGGCCAGGGATTGATCTCCTATGCCACAAGGTATGCAGGGCACACTGAGACAGCAATTAAGACTAGTCATGGTGGTGTGTGCCTGTACTCCCAGCGCTTGGGAGGCTGAAAACAGAAGGATCACTACGAGTCCGATCTGTGCAGTGAGACCCTGTAGACCCTGTACTAAAAATACATTTTTAAAACAGGGCAATCACCATGTCCAGTTCAGCTTCAATAAACACTGAAGAACAAACCATTAAAGAGGTGAAAAAAACTGCTTCATTCCATACCCCTATAAAAGCAGTAACCTCAAGTAAGTTCCACTGCTGTGGTGCTTTCTGGACTACATGCAGTAACTAGCTGGCACCACGAGGAAAGTTAGGCGCTAGAGTGCACAAACAAGCGAGACTGAGGGACAGCAAGTGTGTGTTTGTAAACAATTACACACTAACGAATATCATCTATAAGAAATTGAGAAGCAACACACTTATTATATTAAAGGTACTACAGAGAAAGTAATACCAGGCTTAGTTCTAAGGAGATTAAAATAGTTAATTGAAAAAGAAATCCTAAGACATACATTAAAGGTAGGCTGTCTTTCTTACTATACTACAAATATAAACTACCCACAACATACATTATTTATGCAATACTCTCTCGTCTCACCTTTCCAACTGAGACTGTCTATTCCTGGATGATCTTCTTAGCTACAAATCTGAAGTATGAGCTAGAGATAAAAATAACTTTAATATTAACTAAAGTAAGACATAAAATGGCAATGGAAATTTACCATTCCTAATTGGCACTGGTTGAAAGTTAGTTTTATTACATGTGCATCTACCTCTCTATAAATGTAATCTGTCAAAAAAATTTCTGTTAATTTCAAACAGTAAAAAGAAAATTTCAAACATCACCTGTGAAATAAGACATCCTCTGCAATGTTACAACCATTCATTATTATACGCAGAAGTTCTAGACCTCAGTCAGGATGAATAGGATCCAGGGGCCACTTGTGTTTAATTTTAGACTTTTCTTGCCTCAGCTCACAGATAAAAAGCACCCTGTCCTTTATAAATTCCATAGGTCTTTTGGAAATGCCATAGCTGTATAGGTTAAATGGTCAAAATGATACTTTCTAGGTGTAGGACACCTTAGGCTAGAATTACCAACTTTAAAAGAAAACTGTGTCATGATAATATAATAAAACTACTGTACTTGAATAAAAGTTTCCTTCTATAAATATTTAGTAGATATACCTTATTTTCTTTGTATCTACTGAGATCTGCTATGCAATATTCCTTGAATAATTTATCATAATATTTCTTTGCAAGTCTCTTCTCCCTAGATCCATAAAAAAATAAATATTATTATGCTTAGAAATCCAACCACAGCTTGCTACTTAGAAGCAATGTCAAATAAGTAACTTCTACAATAGAGAAAAAATCAATGTTTTAAAAGATCCATTACTTCCATGTACACTAAATATCTATATATTAACTATTAATAATGGTTCTCTCAGGGAGGGAAAGGGCTAAATCAGAAATGAGAATTATTCTTCATTTTATACCAATTGTACCTTAGATTTTAAAAATCAGTTTTAGGAATTAATTTTTTCCCAAATTATTTTAAAAATTGCAAAAGAAGTATATAGTACCATATTATAATACAATGTCATAAAACAGCTATTTTTTAAAGACTAAGTCAAACCATGAGAAGTCTTTCAACTGCCAAAAATTAGCAGAGGAACCAAACAACATGGCTTTATGTCCTCGATTTAGAGCCGCCCTATGAACAGGCTGAATGCCTTGAGTAAGTCACAAATAAGAACACAAAGAACAAGAGACAGGACTGAAGCATCTGATGTAGTACAGCTACTGACAGCTAAAATTACCAAGTCATCTCCACTTCATCCTCTTCATGCCACAGGAATCTATGATTTTCTCGTATAACATCTAAGTCTGTCTTGTCATTTTCCCTGGAAAATAAAACAAGTTCAATTTAATATGACATCAAAATCAGTCAAGTTTAGGAGGTTAAACAATGCTGTGAGATTTTTTAAATACACAAAACTAATAATTTTATGTGTGAATATATATATATGTATTAAAATATTTCAATATTTTCAGAAGGTAATTATAAGAAATTCTGCTAGAGGCAAGTTAAATGGATAAAAGAATTCATCCACCTTAGCAGTGGTTTTAATTATACAAAGGGCGCTCAGTTACCTAAGCACTAAGTTAAGTTTCAGAATCCAACTAAAAGACAGTAACACCATTATGAGATCTAATTTTTTTTAATCTTTTTGTTTATTTGATACAGGGTCCCGCTACACAGCTCAAATTCATAGTGACCCTTCCGTTCAGCCTTCGTAGCACTGGGCTTACAGGCGTGTGCCACCACACCTGGTTTCGGGGTCTGGCTCTGTGCATCCAGGATTCAGGGGCAGGCACGGCATGTGGTACCAGGTCCTTGTGCTTGAGCTATCTCCCCAGCTCTATGAGACCTAATTTTTAAAACCACAGAGAGTTACCTCATTTTACTAGTTTCCTGGAAGAACTGAGCAAGGGAAGAAAAGCACTGAAGAAAACTGTCAAGATAAAATGCTAATAGTTTGGGGGTAGAATAAATGTTGAGGGATACAAGCTAAATTGATAGGGGAGATAAATTTGTAAAGCTGAGACAGTACTGAAGTGCAGAGAATCCTATCAACTCACAACGACAATTACAATAAAGAAATCCATATAAGACAAAAGGCTCAAATAGAAGAGCCTCAAATACAGAAAAGACTTTTATGTGTAGAAAATTCTGAAGTGAGGGTTGATCTCCCTTTTTAAAGGCAATCCTAAACATTAAGATCTAAAAATATCTTTATTTCAAAGATCCTTGTCAATAAGACATGGAATTATTCCTCATAAAACCTATTACCAGTGTCATACCCACTCAGCAGGTGAGGAGGCTACCTGAGGCCTGTTGCCAAAGAAATGGGATTTATGAAGATGCGACTAGCTAGAAACTGTGCGTGGCTGCTCTACTTCTAAGATGAGGAAACTGAAACACAAAGCAGCGGATCAGTGACAGAATCTAAGACAGCCGCTATAGGTCTCGAAAGGCATCCATTCTTCCCTTCCCATTCCATGTAAACTTCACGATACTTACCCCAAACGCCTGAAGTCTTCTTTTTTGCCACCATAGTATAAAATATAGTCATTTACAAACTTTGTATGCCTTTGATACTGAAAAGCAAGAAATTAAGGATTTTATCTGCTTAGGAGTTTTTGGTGTTATGATCTATTACTGAGTATGATAAAAGTATAATATGAATTTATTTCAGCTTTTCTAAACATGAAAATATGTACTACACATGTTATATATTAAATTGTTAAGAGTAAAGATTGTAAAGTAGGAGGGCTTCCACTTTCTACTGAAACGCTTTTTCAAACATATCATATGAAATATAATGTTTGGAATAGTTTTCAACCACTTATTATTCTCCTGAAAAAAATACATCCCCCTGAGGGGAGGAAGAGCTTCCTGTCCTGCTGCTGGGCTGCAGACAGCTTATCCCATCATTCACATTTTCACGTCAATGATCAAATTAAGAAAAAGAAAGTATGCTTCTAAAATTAAAGGTAAGGAGTAAGATTTATCTTTCATGATTTTAAAATATAATTCTGGGCTG